AATTTCATGTCATTAGCTCCTGTAGTAAAATAATTACTGAGAAAAACGGTGAGGTGTTCAATACTTATTTTACCCACTGTACATGCAGTATACTGATGGGATTTTTAAATAAATGACCAAGAAATGGCAAGAAATAACCTCATAAACAGGTGTGAGGGGGAAAAACAAGAAGCAGATTAACATATAAACATCAGAACCTTTCTATACCAAACAAGGAAAGTGATGCAGGAAAAATAAAAAAATGAAGAAAAAGTAAGTTGTCCAAAAGTTTATCTTATTATATATAGATCTCAATTGGTACTAATTTAAGTATAAAACATTTTTAGAAAAACAAATTGACAAGGCAGCATCTATCTATAAGTTTAATAATAATTAGTAACATTCTAAAGCTTAGATAAGTCAAAAGACATAAACTTGCAGGGTCAATTTGTTGCCCTAGGAAAGATTTCAGGTGGCACTCCTTTTGCAATTTTCTAAATCTCACTGCCAATTTACAAACTTTCACATGCCAAATGAAATAGTTTTGTTTTTGAGATTGTTCTTTATCTTTAGAAACCAGGGTGTCCTGTTAAAAAAGGTTAACAATTGAACTCATTTGAAACAGAATACCAGACGTCTAATATTGGATAATATCACATGTGGAGTGCCTCAAGGTTCTGTACTTGGCCAAAGTTATTCATTTTTTAAATGTGAATGATTTCGTAAATGTGTCAGGGTTATTCAAATGTGTTTTATTTGCAGAYGACACTACACTTTTTTGTTTTGCTAAAAATATAGAACAGATGTTGATAATGATGCAAACAGAATTTACTAAAATACAAACCTGGTTTAGACTTAAAAATTATCATTAAATTTAGATAAAACTAATTATATGATTTTCAATAACAGAAATAAAACTGTTGATGTTCCATTTAGTGTTGATGGTGTGTAGAGTCAGTGAGGTGAAGTTTCTGGGTGTCATCATTGACGAGGGTCTGACATGCAGACCTCACATAAATCATTTAAGAACTAAAATAGCCAAATCCATTGTGTTATTGTGCAAAGTAAAGGACTTATTCAATGATAAAGCACTGTTTATGTTGTATAATGCAATAATTGTTCCAAACTTAATTTTTTGTGTTGATGTTTGGGGAAAAGCGTGTAAAACAACAACAAATCCTGTTTTTATTTTACAGAAAATAGCTATGAGAATTATTACCAGAAAACATTACAGCCACCCATCAAATACATTGTTCCATCAGTTGAAGTTATTGAAATTCCCTGATTTGGTTGATTATAGTATTTTGTCAGTTATGTATGGGGCCCATACAAATACATTACCTTCAAACATCCAACTACATTTTGTTAAAAGAGTAAGTTGTTACAATTTGAAGGGGATTGAAATGTTTGTCAAACCTAAAATTAGAACCAGTTTGAAGGAATAATCTGGAGGAAAACGTTAAAAAAGCCAGATCGAAAATGATGAAGGTAAATCTGTTGGAAAAGTATGTATGATATAAGGCATGTATCAACTCAAGAAGGAATTAAACCTTTATTGTTTTTTCTTTCATTTTTTTGTACGTTGTAAATTGAAGGTTTTTTAATTGAATTTATTTAAGAAAAAGGGGCAGAAATCATAAGATTCTTTTCTTCTTCTGCTACCTTTCATTTAATTTGATTTGTTTTTTGTTGTATGTTGAATTTATGTTGTTTTGTTTTAAATGAATAAACTTTATAATAAAAAATAATAATAATAAAAATACCTGCCAACATCTGCTGACAGCAACGAGGAACACCTATTCATGTTAACGAGCAGATGTGGAGTGAAGCAGTTCTAGGGGAAGTCCAGGGGTAAACTCCCATGGAAATTTAAGTAATAGATTCACTTAAAACTATGCATTTAAAAAGCCTTAATTTCATTCCTTATTTTGTTTTCTAGTTACACACTGAGTGTGTGCACAAAAAATCCACTGCACCATGTAACACTTCTTATTGTAACAAAACAGGACAAGTTACCTTCATAAACCTGAGTAACCAGTGATCATCATTCTGCAGACTAAGCCAACCACTTTGACAAAAAGTTATTTAGGTTTTTTCATCCTCATTTGTGGTACGCCCTTAGCATTTGCCTACACTGCCTAYACCACAGGCTTGACTCTAAATCTATAGGGACAAACTCTAAGGGAATGTCAGTTGTGTCAAAGGTCACTGATCCAACTGCCCTGAGGGGTGATGGAAGCGTCCTAACAGCCAGTCATGGCTTGTGTCAGCTGACACTAACAAAGAGCTGATAGCCAACTGATTAAAAACAGAAATATTCCTTCAGTAATCAGATCGGCTGTCCATCAGGCCGGAAGAAAATAACAAAATAAAACGTTCAGTGGCTCATCWGATAACGTTTGTTTTCCCACACGTTCCCAAACTGATTTCCTTCACAACGTGGCCGTTGAAGCAGGACTTTAAAGCTCTTTGAATCAGGTGAGTCGTCTTAACAGGAGCTGAACTGAGGCTATTTCAAGGGTTCGGCCCACCAGCATAAAGTGCTTTTTGTTTCCTCACAGGAGGAATAAGAGATTTCATTTTCAGATGAACACACCCACACAGAACATACAGTGATTTATGATTTAAGCAACAAACAGACCCTGTGTACAGTAAATAATCTGGGTTTTTTTTTCTCCCTGTCAAGGAGTCCCAGACAAGAAGGACAGAACATGCTCTGACAGATAAACCCAGTTTGCTCCTTGGACCTGTCATATCTCAGAACACTTATTTTTCTTTTGAAATGTGAAGGGATAAAATCAACTGAGGTGAACTTTGACCAGAACAACTCATTTCTCTGTGATGCTTCTAAAACACAAAAGTACATAGATTTTTTTTAAAGTAACTAGATTTTAAAAATTGATTTTAAGTGATTTTTATTTATTTCTGGGCTTGTGATAGAACAAAAATCAGACACTGTTTAGGGAATATTGATCCAAGAATGCCAGAAGTGTCTAAAGTACTTGGGGAAAAAAAGTAAAAAATACCTTAACAGAAAATTACTTAGAAGCATACTTAAGTAAAAGTCATCAAACAGCCTAAACTCTTAAGTACTTTTACATGAAGTGTTTTACTTAACCAACTTACATCAACTGGTTCCACTAAACCTAGTTGAGCAAATTGCTTTAAATTTTACTCAACAGGGTTTACTCGTCATTTTTAGACTGCTTAATCACAATGAGCTCCAGTCAYAGCAGTAACGTGTTACATTTTAAAGTAAAAGAAGTCAAAGTATTAATTTTATGTTTTGAATGTAACAAAATTAAAATAGAAGTTAAGATAAAAAAAATC